CTGCTGTGCAATTCCTTAGCCCAGGAGGTTGTGAACGTGAAAAATTTCCATAGGCTTAAAAGCAAAATCAAATTGCAATTAATTTAAAAGATCTACGGAAGAAAAAGAATCTTTCTAGATTCGTATTATTGTTATGTACCACTTCTAAAATTTAAACTGAAAGTCATCCCTGATTCAGTAAGTCTGGGCTTGTTGGAGGCTGGGGCAATAGTAGCAGTAGTTCGAGGCTCGTGATGGGCTTTCCAGTTCTCTTGCATGACTGAATTCATGTTTCCTATCGAGAAGTGACATGTATTTAGCAGATTATAGCAGGGGTCATCGTTTGGGATTTGTTTTCTTTAGTCATGCAGGAAGTTAATGCCCATCTGGGACAAGAAAGTCAATGCAAAGGTGATTGGTTATAATGAGACCAAACTGGACAAACCAGGAGAGAACGTGTAGGTGTAACTTCTTGCTCAGGCTGTCAGTGGGAGAGTAAATGTCACCTGACAGCTAACTTACAGCCCTAACTTCTGGGAAGATGGAAAGTGTCTGGTGATACCAAAGTGGAGTGAAAAGAGTTTCTATTCAAAGCACACCAGGTTACCACTGTGATGGGACTGGGTGATACCTTGGCTTAGCCTAACCTTTGGCTTGCTGTTATCCGTATGTAGGTAGTGAGAGGAAAAAGAGCTCCCCGAGGTTTATCAGGCAACAAATGGGTATCTTCACATCTGAATGTGGAGTTGGAGAGCAAAACTCCGGAGGACTTTTGGGCAGAAGAGACCACAAGTGATTGCATTTGTTAGGAGGTGTTCAGTGTGAATGCCAGATGTGCTGAATGCCAGATGTGCTGTGGGCTTTTTCTCTGACTTGTGAGTTCACCTGAGTTAAGGCCATGCCCTGAAAGCAGCCTACTGCCATTAATTTCATTCCTCAGCCAAACCCAGTCATATCTCAAAGCCAAGACAGAGCTCTGGAGGTTCATCTTTATTCACAAGGGGAAGTTATACTCTACTGCTTCCTAGATAAGCTTTGAAGGTATAATTTCTGTAAGCGTAGATATAGCTCAAATAAATGTTCTTTGAGCTCTAATCTGCCAGATCTGCAAACTGCCATATATCTGTGCCTGATATGAATTGCCATGTTTTGTGATTATTAACCTTTTAAAGGGAGAGGAAATGAGGGCCTGAGCTTTGATCCACATTTATGAGTGACAGTGGGAAAGATTATCACCACCTGTAGCTGTGCTGGGTTGTCCTACACTGCTGCAGCATGGACTCTGTCAGCATCTCTGGCCACAGTTGTGGCAGTCAGGCCTGGCCTGCCAATAGCAAGAAGAACTGTATGGTGGACACCACTCCAGCATCAGCTTCTATTACCCCCCAAAGCTCAGAGGGCTGTGGCTGGTACAGTCAAGACACTTGGCTTGCAAAGAGGGAAGTCTAAAGTGTTGGATGTGAAAATCCAAGTTCCAGCACATTGCTGACAGCCTCCAGCTTGTTCCTTGACCGTACTCCTTCAGCAATGCTTCAGGAGCCTGCTTCAAGGTGGAGAGAGTTGGCTGCTAGTAATTATGCTAATTGCATGGCTTATAGAGGAGGGTGAGCAGTTAGAGGTGCTTATCTGAAGGAGGCTTAAAAGGCAGCTTCATTAGGGTTGTAAAGGAGCACTCCAGAAAAAGATCCTTGGCTCCAGAGAGCACTTCATGAGATTTTAAAGCACTGATGCCTTTTCCCTCCCATGGATACAGGTGACTGTGACCTTGGAAGAAGAGTGCCATCTTGCATTGAAGCTGGAGTATGATTTTGAAGTATCTGGGCTGAAACCAAATCTCTTTGTCTTTTTTTCTTCTGGAAGAATATTGTGCTTCAAAGACTTCCAGTTTGGACTCAGTCATAGCTCAGGAGAAGTGTGCAGTTTGCCAAGGCAGCAGTAAGTGCTAAGGCACAAATATATGCCTCTTGTCCTGCTAATGTAAAGGCTTCTGCAGAGGTCTCCCAAGTAGATATAAACCAAACTGCTGCTTTAATGATGAATTGTGACAAAATCTCTGTCCTGGGTGATAGGACTGTGCTCAAAATAGTGTGAAGCAGATGAGGACCCTGGGTTTGCTGAGCACAGAGCAGAGGAGCCTGAGGAGGGGCCTCATGGTGGCCCTACAGGTCCTCGTTGCCCTATAGCTCCTCATGATGCCCCTATAGCTCATCATGATGGCCTACAGCTCCTAACAGTGGATGGGTCTCATGCACAGGGTGCATCTGTGTCATTGCTACCATGGAAGAGAACTGATAAATAAGTTTTCATCCTTTCTGTAGATATCCAGTGCAAATGAGAGAACAATATTTATAATTAATTAATGGAGAAGCATTTAGCAGTCACCAAACATGATTTGGTCCTGCAAAACATACTGTCATCTTCCTTCCATCTATTAAAGCCAAGCGATGCCACAGGGAAGACAGGGATTTCCCTTCTCCAAGTCCTACTACAGCTGATTCTACCCAGAAGTAGTTTTCTGAGATATTGATCTGTCAGTGATATGACTGAATCATAGAATCAGTCTGAGATGGAAGGGACTCTTAATGCCCATCAGGTTCATTGCAGTGAACAGAGACACCCACAGCTCAATCAGGTGCTCAGAGCCCAATTCCCTGATCTTGACTGTGTCCAGGGACGGGCATCTACCACCTGGACAACCTGTGTCAGTGCTTACCCTTATTGTAAAAAAACTTCTTCTCTATATCCAGTCTTAATCTCCCCCCTTTTACTCTGAAATTGTTTTCCCTTGTCCTATCATAGCAGACCGTGCTTAAGAGTGTCCCCTTCTTTCTTACAGCCCCCATTTAGATACTGAATCTTCCCCCCAGTCATTTGCCAGAGTATGATCTCTAAGTTTTGGAGAAAGAAGACAACTTTCTCTAACGCTATTTCATTAAGGCTTCGTTGTCCTGGACAGGCACAGACTTTTCCCTGATGTTGTAAGGGACTGACTGCAGGGCATGCAGTAATTGCTTGTGTTACTCAGTGCTAAGCAGCTTGCAATTCTCAGATCTTTAGATTGTTACAATTCATTTAAAAGGTGAATGTCTATTCTTTCTGGTGTGCATTTCAAATAAAATCATCATAAATTATTCAAATCACTTAGGCTTTGTTCTGCCTTAGACCTATGATGAGTGAATTGTATCTCACCGATCTTCAGGTGCCTCAAAATGAGATATTTAGACTCAGGTTGTTCATTCAAGCCCTCTTCATTGGAGAGGACACTTCCAAAGAATGATTTGTTGGCTCTTCAGATAACCATCCTATGGTGACATCTTTGCACAACTAACTACTGCAGGCATAAAAATAGGGATATGAACTCCACCTTTGAAACCTGGACCCTTCCAGGCAGCCACGCTAATAGCATCATGCAGTAAGAAACATTATGCTAAAAGAGCTAATAGGTGGGTAAGGGAGATCATTTCAGAGGCAGTAATTATTAAAGGTCCATTCTGTGTGTCTTCATCTTATTTTAATCACAGGGAGCTTCTGTTATGAAAACACATGTGAGATTTCTTCATGCGTTACAAGTGGCAGTGATGAATGCTATCACAGAAAAAAGACAGGGGTCAGAAAAATTCTCAAAGCGCGTAATTCAGAACATTTAGAAAGCTGTCTGATGCTAACACCTTGCATTTCTTTATTATTTTGCATTATAACCTGTCCTGGGGTAATGGGTGCATGTTAATTTATTGATGGTGATGGAGGTGAAGATTGTAGACCATGAACGGTCCTGTCAAGAAATCATTTATTTTCCAAGGGCAGAATACTTACTGTCTTAATGTTATTGGAGCTGCTGGCTGTTTGGTAGCAGATAACTATGATGATGGAAAAACTGAGCATTGCAACTGATACTACAAATGAGAAAATTGAATTTTAATGACTGCTACAGAAGAGCGTGCATGTAGAAGATACCGCTGGTTATTCCGTGTTTTAGGCTCTGATAAACTCACCCTAGGACTTTGTCTGAAAAGTTCGGTTTGCTCATGAAAGAATGAAAGAAAAGCTTGTGAAATAACTTTGAAAGAGAGCTGAGAGTTCTTTTTTCAGCTTCAAAGCATTTTTATGTGCTCCCTTTATTGATCTGAGACAGCAAGCTGCCTCGCTCAGAGCTGACTTGATGATGACACCAGCCTTTTTCTCAGCAGAAGGGCTAAAAGAGGACTTAAAGGAGGAATTGCAGATCAGGCTATAATTACTAAGAAGTGTAACTTGGCAGTGGTTTTCGTAGTTCCCTTTACTTGCATGTGGAAAGTACTTTCTTCAGGCTTTCTTCTTCATATTCCAGTTTCTCTTGTTAGGCTGTTGACCTTAACAGCAACACTGCAGTCACATTTGGGGGAGCGTTGCGACGTAATGGGATGTGACAAAGAACCATGGAGTAGAGGTGCTAGAAAGAAGTGACTTTTAAGGAGGTATGTTGACAACCCATCTATCAACCAGTAATCAAAGTGTCTGTCTGTGGAAAATTGAGGGGAAAAAAAAATTAAAAATAAGGTTTTCAAGATTCTGATATGAACTTTAAAATTCTTAATACATTGAGGCAGAAACTCATCTGACATTGTTAATTCCTATCTGCAAACGTGTGTTGTCTTCAGCACTAATACTGCATTACTCAATCCTGTGGTACATGTGTGATATCATTAATGTATTTTGAGAAAGCAGAAATGAAAGGACAAAATGAGAACAGTGTGTTGCAGCTGTGCAGAAAGAGCATGCCTGGCTGTATTTTTACCCAGAAAGTATTCATACTATTCAAAAAATCATGTTGAATTGCAATAAAATTATCAGTCTTCCCTAAAGTTAGCTCTGTTTGCTACACCTGCATTCCTAGCTCAGATGGGGCTTCATGTCATCTTCCTCTCCCTACTAAAAGATGCTTCTGCTGAGACTCAGTGCAGAGTTGCTCTCCTATGCTCCTTACAGCAGATAGCAGGGAGTCGCTCGTGCTTGTTCTACCATCAGCTTTTCTCTTTCCCCAGGTTGCAGAAGGCAGTGGGACAACATCACGTGCTGGCCTGAAGCGCAGGTGGGAGCGGTTGTGGTGAAGCCATGCCCAAAGTACTTCAGGTTCCTCACCACTTTTCTTGGTAAGAAAGCTCGTCTTGGTGAAATGTTTTTATGGCTTCTCTGCCTCTAGGATTTCACATTGTATCACAGGGTATAATCACATTAAGAATTATAGATCGTTAAGCTTCGAAAAGACCTCTGAGGTCGCCAAGTCCAACCTTGGCCCAGCCCTTCCATGGCCACCAAGCACGTCCCTCAGTGCCACATCGCCATCGTTCTGCAACACCTCCAGGGATGGTGACCCCACCACCTCCCTGGGCAGACTGTGCCAAAGCATTACCACTCTTTCAGAGAATAAATTCTTCCTTATATCCAACCTGAACTTCCCCTGGTGCAACTTAAAGCCATTCCCTCTTGACCTATCGCTGTTTATCTGGGAGAAGAGGTAACTTCCTGGTAAGAAGAGACTCAGTAGGTCTAAGGATTTACATGAAGTAAATAAGGTTTCCAAGCCGTATATGGATACCCAAACCATTAGATCATCCTCCCCATCTTCTTCCAGCACAGTGCACTGTGTCATAGGGGTGCAAAAGCAGCTCCTGTGAAATCCACTAATTGAGAGATTGTGCAGCAAAAGCTTAATCAACTTCTGTAATAGTATGTTTGTTGTTCAAAATGGACAGCTTAGCGCTGTCATTAATTAGGTCTCTGACATAAAATAAGCAAGCTGAAACTATGTAATCAAGTTTTTTTCCACTGAAATGACTAACTTGATCAGTAGCCAAGAAATTAACCTGACAAACAATGGGCAGGAGAGGTTAATGGAGAAATCAGCTTAACGCACAAGTTAGCATATTCTGGGAAGCTTTAATTTAAAACTCAGATCTCAGGGGCAGTGCAGCAACAGGACTCTCTGTCTATTCGTAGTCATTATTTACCATTTTTATTATAGTAGTTCTGCAATCTCCACAGAGAAAGAAGAATTTTGGCACTGGACAGTATGCACCAAGCTTCCACAGGGTTACAATGCAAACACACGTGATGGGCTATGAATAGGAGTAAGGATACAATAATTTCTCTGTTTAACAGAGCAGGACATGACACTGAACCAGGGCACGTAGATTACGTGACTTGCCCAAAGCCACACCAAAATCCTGGGCAGAGTCAGTGGGGAAAACCGAAAGTCCTGGATTTTTATCCTAGTGCTGTGACCTCCCTGAGAAGTTTATCTCATACTTCATTCCACCAGAGCAGATCAATGAGGAAAGCATGATGCATGTATACATGCATACGTATATAGATACATGTGTGTATGGCATCCAAATCTTCCAGTGACTGGAGAGTTAACTGGTTTGGTCAGCGATGGCTGAGACATGATTAAACTCATTATAAATCAGCTACTTAAAGAGACCAGATGAACACTATCCTCATTTTGTAAGGTGAAGCATGGAGACTTGCTTCACTGGAGAAAGGAGATTCTGCGTTCTTTATATCTGCTGTTTCTAATGCAGGTTTCTATATGAGATAGGATTCCATTCATATCACAGAATCATAGAATGTCCCAAGTTGCAAGGGACCCATAAGGGTCATCGAGTCCAACCCCTGACACCATATAGGACCTATCAAAAATCCAACTGTACGTCTGCAAGCAGCGTCCCAATGCTCAACAAGCCCTGACAGCACAAGGCTGTGCCCAGTGCCCTGGGGGGCTGTGTCATGCCCAATATCCTCTGGGGCAGGATCTCTTCCTGACATCCAACCTGAACTTCCTCTGAACAGCACTTTAGTCATTGCCACCAACAGACATGTATTTAGAAGCGTGAACAGCTCTTTGGACTCTAAACTCACAGATAGGCACCTACTTTATAGATGCTGAGGGAAGCCATTCAGTTTCCTAAACTGGCATCCAGTGCCATTTCAGATACCCTTAGGGGATCCAAGAAATCCGTGAGGTTGCTTCAACTGACACTAAGATACTGGTATTTAAGAAGCTTGTATCTAACATGGAATAGCGTTCATATTGATTTTAGGGTCCTCCATAGTCAACTGAGCATGTTTTACAGTGGTGAGGAGTAGGCTCGGTTCAGGTGACCTTTAGACACTAAGATGAATTGAATAACGTCTTAAAAAAGCCTCTTTCCTTTTGCAATTGAATGACTGTTGAGTGGTAGTGGCAGCAGGGATGAATCCTGCCTTTGCAGACAATATATGTAAGCATCTCCCTCTGTGCACAAAGAAACTGATGCTGTTTTGAAAGCAAAAACAACAGCTTAATAGTGGACAAGGGACAGAGGAACCCTCATATTGTGGGAGGTGGTGGAGTCATCAACCCTGGAGGGGGTTCAAGTAACATATAGAAATTGTGTTGAGGGATATGGTTTAGTGAGAACTGTTGGTGGTAGGTGGACAGTTGGACTGGATGATCTTGGAGGTCTTTTCCAACCTTGGTGAGTCTATGAATCTATGATTTGTTTTTCTCTGAGCTATGCACTTTGTACAATCATATGCAAATGACGGAAAGCAGATATGAGCATAATTAAAGCGAAGGGAAGTTTGCATCTTGTTCTGCAGAATTTCTTGCAAAATAATGTTATTAAATTTTGTGGAGCAATTCTTCCTTTGTAGTAGTGAATATCACTGAATAACTTCCAAGGAAATCAATCATCTAGTAAATGTTTATGTCTTACTTTTTGATCCCTTTGCAGTAGCATGAAAGCTTAGACCAAAGTTGTGAGCAGTTACAGATCTCTGAATTCAGAGCTAGAAAAAAGAGTGAGTTTGGGAAACAACGAGTTAATGTGATTTTCTTGCTCAGTGGAAAATATGCTCTTCAAATGACTAATATATCTCATGGTAAATAAAGGATAAAATATCTGACGGCATTTAGAAACCTTAAAATGCCTATCATAGTTCTGATGTCATTTGACATTAAATTTTTATGCTACTCACAAATCCAGAAGATTTTCATTATTTTATGACATTCGTCAGTACCATGTGAAGGAGATGCATGAAAATATTTTTGGCACCTTTCACTATTAAAGTGCACTGTTTGCTGTCTCTTTACCAGCATATTCTAGCTTCTTTTCAATACGTAGAAGGTGACATTTGTAAGAGGGATTTGTGCCCTGCAAAAGCAAGCTGTCCACGCTGCAGTTAGCAGTAAAAAAAACTGGCACTGATGGTTTTTTTTAGGCTTCAGCCATGATATGTTATGGGAATAACCAAAACCCACTCAATGAAAGTGAGAACCTCATCTCCTCCAGCGCTCGAAAATTCCTTCCACTCTTCTTTCCTTTAATTTTTCCACTGCTCTATGAAGTAGTTGAGAGTTGACACTTAGGATGTCAGCTATAGGTGGGCCAAATCTGCCCATCCACAGACATTAAGTAAGGTTCTCAGATTGATCTGAATGATTTGTGTGGTTAATATCATTGCAAGATTTATGCCAATATTGACTTATCTTTAAAGAACTGTATGACTGGAATTGTTCAGTCTGGAGAAGAGGAGTCTCAGGGGAGACTTCATTCTCTACAGCTGCCTGAAAGGAGATTGTGGTGCAGTGGGGGTCGGCCTCTGCTCCTACATAACAGCAAAAGGACAAGAAGGAATGGCCTCAAGTTGCACCAGAAGAGGTGCAAGTTGGCTAGTAGGAATAACTTCTTCACTAAAAGAGTGAATGGGCTGCCCAGATGGTGGAATGGAGGTGTTCAAGGAACATGAAGATGTGGCACTAAGGAACATGGTTTAGTGGGCAACATTGGTGTTAAGTGGACAGTTGGACTAGGTGATCTTAGAGGTATTTTCCAACCGTAATGATTCTATAATTCTATGATTCTATTTTATGAAATTCTTTGGGTTTAAAATCTTTTAATCTTTGATTAACTTAAGTTTATAGCAGCATTATAATTCAGAATCTGACCCCAAATCCCTTTTCTGCATAAGTGGAGCCCCAAGACTTGTCTGAAGAATTATGGATCTTATTATGTTACAGTGGATGTAACATCCATCATGAAGATTAAGTCTTCATTTGGTTTTAGACCTTCACTCTATCATTTTAAATTTACACATTCGTAATCTTCTGTCAGATCATTTTTTCTTCTGAATTTAAAAGACATCATTCTCTCTGTGGCATATTTCAATTCAGCAAATATCAATCAAGAACTTTTGTATTATCTTTTGTCATTCTGTTTTTTTATATTGTGCCCAAAGTTATTTTTACTGCTGTTTGACCCTAGGTACCTCTTGCATGCATTAAACAAGATACGGTTCATATCATTCCTGGCCTCTGACTGATGTCCCATTAATAAATTTAGTATGATGGGCAGCAGTATTTTTGATTCACTTGCAGAGAGCTTTGGAAACGGCACCCTTTCTCCATACCTCTGCTTTGAAAGACATTGACTGATCCCTTGTAGCATTATTTCAGTTCATTAGAGCAGAGGCAGAGGCAATGAAGTCAAATCCATTGGATGTCTGTTATTTCCTGTTAAGGTGCAGGTCTTAATGGTGCAGTATCCAACTATCAGAGGACGGTTCTGGCAATTCTTTGCAACTGCACAGAGAAAAGAGAAGAGCTCCCCATGAAATAACATGAGAATGAGCCACCTGCAGGTATTGAATCAAGTGGTTAAACACACTACTGCAGGTAGTTTCATTGATGTCATCTGCAAGCTTGCCCTGAAAGGAGTCCTTCAAAGCACCTGAATCCCTGTTGTCTTAGAGTGAGTCTTGGAGCAGAGCATAGCAATGTCCTGGGATAGTCAATGGAAATTTGTAGGTAGGACATGAATATACACCGAGGGATTTGTCATAAGTATGGAGTTGAGAGTCCACCTAACAGTAGGCATTTTGTGGTTAAGCATGCAAGTTAAACTCCTTTCTAATTTCCCTCAAGCCAATGAGAAAGAGAGGTATTTGCAGGGCATGGGTTGTCCTGTAACATGCCTTAAAAAGGCATGACCTTTGGAGGTGTGATATGGCCTCTTGGGAACCTATAGTGTCTGCTATAGACTAGAGTCCCTATGTTTCCATGGCAAAAGCTAAGTGAGATGAACGCCAATCTTTTGCTCATGCAAAGTAA